TCAAATTAGGCCTCGAGGTTTAGTAAACAAGAATTTTTCCCTTTAGAAATATTTGGACACATCATCGTAGGATCAATATGCTGAGTCATAATCTGTATATTACTCGACATATATATTTGCGTGATTGACCGACTTATCTCGCAGTAATTTCAAACAGCACTACACACCTTTGTTTTCACCTTATAATGGGTATAGGAGATATTATGCTTAAGGTATTATTTTATCATAATTATGCTTGATCAAGAGAACTCATCGAATTATTGTATCTCACTTTTGTCTACCTAAAGCTCGTACTCTTCCTAACTCATCTCAATGAGTCAACTATCTTCTTTCATTGCACTCTACTTTGTGAAAGAAATCACTCTCTAGTTTGGACAACTGGATATAATAGATTCATATTCATGATACTTAAAGTACTTCATGGCTTGAATAGTCTTGGCTATTGACCTGTCATTCTTTTCTTATTCTTGTGCCAACTCCTTACATGGTGTAAGTTTTGGCACTTTAGTCATAGTATTATTGCTGCTTGGCCCCAGAACCCTTCCTAATAAATATAGTGAATTTGATGTTGTTGTGTTGCTTCTATACCTTGAGGGCTAAAAGTCTATACATTTTGCGATGTTCATGGTTTTAAGTGAGACAAGCCGCATGTGAGCTGGCTTGGGCTCAACTCGATAAGTGGCTTGTGAGTTGAGCTAACAAGCCGAGCTTAAGCCAACCCCTACTCAACTCATTAGCTCGTAAGCCTGCTCGTTTTAAAAAATATTAATATAAAATATACTCAAATATATAAAATTTCAAGGTTATCTTTAAATGATTTAAAATATTTAAAAATTGATAATATGTACTTTATATTTAATGTCAAGTGATTTCTTAATATTTATCTTCAAAGTGCTTATTCTATTTTCAATTTTATTAGAACACTTGCTTAAATTAATTTAATTTTTTTTTATAGTAAAAAACTTTCTTTTTCATAATAAACGAGTCTGCTTGTGATCCAACTCGAGTTCATAGATTTTATATTCGAGATCAAGCTCATACTAGATTGATTAATTAAGCTCAAGCTCAATCTACTTGACTTGTTTACACCTCTTGGGCTTTAATTGTATGAAAATATTAATAGAAGTTCTCAATACTCCAAGCTATTTGGCTTTGGTGTTCTCATCTGTCTCCAACAATTCACGCTTTAATATACTCAACAGTGTACTCCCTTACTAATAAATCATTCTGTTGTTACTTGTGAAATCTTAAGAAATTATGTTATCTGTATTGTTCATGCAGATAATTGTGTTGTACCTTCTTCATCTTAGATTAAGTAGTGATTTGTCCCTTTTCTTCCATGTTGGTTCAAGCATTTCAATTTCTCCCACCATAGTGAAAACACTTTTTTAATTTAATGACAACTTCACAATTTTGTTAGTTGGAATGTCTTGTACTCAAATATTCATTTTACAGTTTGAAGCCACTCAATAAACTCATCATGACCCATACAATCATCAAAATATTATAAAGCAACCCTTACCTCCAAAAGCACTCTCCCTTCTCTTATGCTCAAGGCCAAAATGACATCACATTGACCGCTTATCTCTTAAGGGCTGTTGATGGAAGGGATTCTCTTCATCTTCTCCAACAAAGTGAGCAACGTTCCAACTCTGTCTGAACTTGTGCTATTTTCATTCAAAATTAGAAAGCCTGTTTTGTAATTTAAGGATTATCAATTACATTTCCTCCTTGAGAAAGTCTAGAACATTCCTTTGGGGATTTCTCATTGGCGACAGTGTGTAGGTCTTAGGGTTTGCCAAATGTTTGAAGTTTAGTTGAAGGTAGAAATGTTGGGTTTTGTAGATAAAGGGTTAAGAGTTAGAAAGTGAGATTTGGATTTGGCTTTGATAGCAAATGACAACGATTTAGGGTGTCCCAAAGATGGTGTTTAGTTGTACAAGGATTTAATGATTTTCTTGCAAATGGAGGGGGATAGAGATAACCTGAAAATTTTAGAAATCGGGCTGGTAATAGCACAGGGAACCTTCTGTTGGTCAACAACAAGGAGGAGAGGAGGCCAACAATGACTTGTGTAAATGTAGGGAACGTCGTAGATGTGGATTCCATCATCTGTACTCTATCAAGATATAGTCTCAACACTTGAATGAGCCGGCTACAACTCTCCAAATAGAGAGAAAACAAAGATTAGTCTCCCCAAAATATAATAAAACCAAAGCAAAGATGATCCAACCAAGTTTGAAAAAAATATATACTCCTATTTCACACAAAATAATATATATATATATATACACACATTATTTTACGATTGGTTTTGCTCTGCTAGAGTTTACTCTAGTCGCGACTCGAGTAGCCCTCGATATCTTTACGCCAGAACGAGAATTCGTCGTCTCGTCGTGATTGAAGAAGAAGAGAAGGCGATTGCGTCGTAGCAGGCTCGTCTTTGGCGTCATCTACAGGAAGACGTCGACTCTGCTGGACAATGCCTCCCCCCACGACAAAGTGCTACAAATTTAGTTTCGTCGCCTTGTCCTGCTTGAAGAAGAAGGGAAGGAGATTGCGTCGTAGCAGTTTCGTCCTCGTCGTGATCTACGCAAAGATGTCGACTTTTCTTGACAACTTTCAGTTTCATCGCCTCGTCGTGCTCGAAGAAGAAGGGAAGGGGATTACGTTGTAGTGGTTCGTCATCGTCGTGATCCACTCGAAGAAGTCGACTCTGTTTAACTCCCACCGCAACAAAGTTCCTTCATCCTCGTCGTGATCTACGCGAAGACATCGAGTCTACTTGACAACGCCTCCTCCCGTGGCAAGTCCTACCGTTTCTTTTTCCGTTTTTTGACTTCTGCTTTGATGGCCACCGTTCCTCCCCCAAATTAGTTCCTAGGCAAAAAATCTGTTGTTGCAGAGTACCGTAAGGGTCTAGACTCTAAGAAGGTTGTCGAGTATGTTGTGTTTTCTCGGATCTATCATGATTCTCTTGAAGAGAAAGCCGACTGTCTGTTTTTAAGAGGGCTTGCAGGAAGGGTGATAAGACTGCTGTTATTTTTCAAACCATTAAGTCTCTACTTTGATTGAAAAATGCAAATTTACACTTTTTGGGAAATTTTAGTTGGAGCTTCCCAAAATGGAGGTTAGTCGCAAAGCTTTTGAGGACCTCAAATTTGTAGGACAATATAAGGTGAGTCTCTTTGATGTGTGACATGTGATGATACATTTGTCTACGGACGAAGGCTATGCTATGATTTTCTCCAGAAAATACCTCACCATTGAAGGAAAAACTATGAAGTTGATCAAGTGATCTCCTAAATTTGATCCAAACCAATAACCACCTACAATAACATAATGGTTTAAGTTATATGGGCTTAAATTACTTTATTTCAACTATCAGGCCCTTTATTCCATTGGGGACGTACTTGGGAGACCAATGAAATTAGACATACCTAAGTTTAATCTTTCTTCCCTTCTGTCGCCAGGATCCTTGTGGAGAGAGATATCAATTTACTTGACATTGAAGAATTTTGGCTTGACACTGCACATAATGGGTATTGGCAACAGATTATCATGAAACAAATACCATACTATTGCACCCATTGTAAGAAGTTTGGATACACACTTGAAAAATATTTCAAGCTTCATCCTAATTTGAGACCACAACCTCAACTTCCTCACCTATCTACTCAAGAAGCACCTACTCCACCCCCTGATATGGTGAAAACGGCAACTCGAGTGGATATCACCACTGATTTTGCCCCAGAGGAGCACCCCTCACTATCTCAGCGCCCTCATGTTGCTGAAAATGAGGATAATCTCATTTTGGTGCCAGAAGATGCTCCATACGCTATGGAAATAATTATTGCTGATGTTGAGGGCTCTCAAACCTTGGTGGAGTACCAAGTTCAAGGTGTGCAACAGGTAGAGGAACTTAGGAATTTACAGGATGCTTTGCTTGTTTATGGTGGAAGCTCTCATCATAGTTTCGTGCTTGACTCCCTCTCTACATCCAGGGAGAGAGAAAGGCCCACTCATCACGATTAAGCTCCCGAGAAGCCTGCAATCCATTTTTATCTTTTTGGGGAAATTGCTTAGCTTTTTTTTTGGGTATACTTGTACTTTTTGGTTACCTTTTGAGTCTTGTATGCCTTGTGAGTGGGCTCCTAGCACCCGCTTACTAAAACCTTTGATCTTCTTCCCATCAATGAAACTTTTATTTTGGCGATATATATATATATATATATATATATATATAAATTTAAATAACATAAATAAAGAAACTAATAACTCTGTCATTGACAGGCCAGCTCAAGGAAATGACAATTCTCTTAACCGGCCAGAGAATAAAACTGATCCTAGCTGGTTCTGGGCTAGAAAGCTTACAGTCGCCCCAATGATGCTGACGCTGGCATCACTCCTATACCATATTGAATCCAATGGAGAATTATTTATATGAATCCAAATAAATAAAAGGATCCAGGTGACAACCTACTAAGAAACACAAAAGGAAAACAGTCTTCAAGCCTTCTACTCATTCTGATTTCAACATAAATGGCAATCAACATGGTATGTGTTGATATTTAGTTTGACTCATTTGATACATTTTCAATCTCACTGATAACGTTCAGCCTCTTGTACAAGTGGTTTTCTCTTTAGCTTGTTGGGTTAGTTAACTAGAACACATTCGGTCTTATCTAGGATATATAGTTTTATTTGTTACAATTTATTTTTAATACTAATGAATTACATGGTTGTTTATTGGGATGAGGCAATGCAAATCATTTTTTTGATATGACGCATAAATTAGTCAAATTATTATTCTATCTTTTAAGAAGAAATCATAAGCTATATTTTGAGCAGACTTTATAAACTGGTGACATTATTAAATTGTAATATTTTCTTGCAGCAATGTACCTTCTAAGGGTTACCTAGCCCGTTATTGAGTTTTATTTGAAATTCTTTATTACCTCCTGATTTTACATTTTAATGAAATAAAATTCCTTAAACAGGCATCACGGCTGATGCATTTGACATAGAGAAACCAATAATTTTTACATTTGAAGGAATTCTTTTGGGAACCGATTCTTTTTCTGATACAAATTTACTGGGTCATGGGACTTATGGCTCTGTATATTATGGATTTCTTCGTGATCAGGTCTGTACTTGTACGCACATTTTTTTGTCGAACCTGTTTCCTAGTATTCTATTACAGACAATTTGTAATATAAATGACAATTATAGGAGGTTGCTATCAAAAGAATGACTGCGACCAAAATAAAGGAATTTATAGCAGAGATGAAGGTTCTATGCAACGTCCACCATTCCAGCTTGGTATGTATTGCATAACCGAACGGTTTCCTGTTGTTTCACTTGCGCAATCTGTGATTTCTTAACCAACCTACTATATTTTTTGTATCTTTTGTCAAGGTAGAATTGATTGGTTATGCAGTCAGTACTGACGAGCTCTTTCTTGTTTATGAGTATGCTCAAAAAGGTTCGCTCAAAAATCATTTGCATGATTCACAATACAAAGGTAATTATTTTTAAAGTGCTGTACGTCCTTCTAAAAATTACATCAGAAAAGCTTTCTATGTTCATAGTATAATTTCTTTTGGTTTGTAGCATTTTATTAATGAATTTAACATTCAAGGATTCAAACATTTGGTGAATATAGTCTATTGAGGAACTTTGAAATACATGCTTTCACCGTGGTCTTGTAACTCCTTTTTTATTAATCTTTTGTTGTGGGTTATGCTATAATTTTACCAACTTGAAGGAGAAAGGAAGGGTTGGAGCAAAAAAAGCTAGGTGGACAGCTGAGAAAATGAGGGAAAAATCCACTATCGAGCTCTCTCCAAGATTGTTTTGACTAAATGAGGGAAAAAAGGCTGCAGCGGAGAAGTCAGCATAGGCAGAATTGAAGTTGTTGGACTCCTTGCTCTCTCCAAGATACCTTATTTATAAGTGTATATTTGGGGCCTCAAGCGTGTCGACCGTTATTTTTGAAGGAATGGTTTTTGTAGAATATGAAAATAGTTCTAATATAAATATGATTTTTGAAAGTAACATTTTAATTTAAAGAATAGATGAGACCAAACGAGTCTCACACATTGAATAGTTTGGATGGATGAGCGCGATACCACAAGTAATACACTACCCCGAAGGATAAACATACCACTTGTCAGTAGGCTCAACCACCTAAACTAAGGAGTTTGTGACATCCGTTTGGTCTGCAAAACCTTTTATAAATGGCCGACAAGTTCCCTTACCTAATATAAGGATTAGATAAGGTTTATTTTACCTGGGTTCTAAGTTCCATATAGAGTCAAACCCCTATAGTTAATTATATCTTAAATGACCAGGGTCACTTAAGAAGACTCTCGATTAAGATCAGTGGTTTTGCCTTCCAGATTTCAAAGTTTAGGCTTCCAAGATTGGATATGGGAAAGTCAAATGGGAATGACTCAAATAGGATCAATTTTTTTAGGAGTCCAAAGGAATGAAGAGTAGGAGATATCACAGATCCAGGGGAAACCCTAGTGATTTCCCAACTATCATATTGTTTGGCTTTATGTCTTTGAAATAATGTTATTCAATGCTTAATCCTGTAATTTATTTCAGAATTTAGGACTTACATTCACACGATATCTAATCGTGCAAATAACTTAGAAAGATAGGAGGATTTATACTATACCACACGGTAACCCTGGAATCCTAAAAATGTTAGGACTTATAATTGCACAACAGAGTTATGCAAAAGCTTAAAGATAAGGTAAGGATTTACTTTGCGCTAAGCAAACCACCTCGAAGTCCTATGGCTTGTTATTTAAACTAAAGAAAATGTTTAGTTGACGTGAACTTGTTTTGATGTTGCAGATCCATCTCGAAGTTGATTCTCTGTGTGTCCTCGTCGTGCTGCTCATGTTGTTCGCTCCAAATTCCCCTTCGTAGCACCTTTGGATTTGACGTTCATTTTAAGGGTACATGCATGTGTTTAGTCAACGATCTGCTGCCGAGTACCTCCTATAAAACCAACTATTGGTCTCCTACTCTAAGGTATAGTGTGTAAAAGAAACAATAGCAGCTATAAGTATAGTGACAAAATTTAAGAAATGAACTAACATGCATTGTATCAACAAAAGAAATACCATCTAGAAAACTCAAGAAAGAGCGGCAAATGACCCATGACAAAAGAAAACTCGAGAAAAAATCGGCAAATGACTCATGACAGAAATCTCGAAGAAAAAAAAAGCAAATGACAACTCAAAGAAAGTCACTGAAAATACGGAAAGATCCAGGAAAAAGATCACGAGTGCTTTACCATAAGTTTCAATAAAATCACACGAAAAATCCGAAGAAAGAATAAACCGCAAGCACTCGGGTCGGAGCTAGGCTCAGATAGTATATATTTATACTTGAGGGACGTCGAAGGCTACTATCGGTCACCCGGATGTATAGAACCCGCTACTCAACTAGAAGTGTGTCCTACTAAAGCTAACTTAGGAGGGTACTCGTTAGCCCGGTACTGGTAATCGACAAGTGGACAACCAAGTTACAATATATTTAAAATCTATATTTTAGCATACAAATGGATTTCAGGCATACAAAAGGAAATTGTATCAATTTTGTAGTAAAATTATTTTTTATAAATATTGTATCTGCTATTATCATGTTTTGTTCTTATCAGTTTTGAAAAATTATGATTGTCCACGATTTGATCACGCCGTCGGGGTAGGACTGACAACAACCTAAGAAGGTACGGGTCCCCCGCTAATCTTGTGTCGGTGAATGATAGTATCATCCTACAGTTCATCAGGTCATTGGATTGGGTTTTGATATCGTAGGATGAGATATCATTCCGCTCTACTACCGACATACCTTTGTCATCATCGCCTTAAGCCCTAAAACAAAACCAACCTACTTGCGACCTTGCTTGATGATTTCATATATAGTAAAAGGCTATATATGCACGTTTATGCATGAGACATAAGCACAAAAAGCCTAAACCAAGAAGCAATGAAAGCTAACCAAAAATCAAGAAATTAAAAAGATAGAAGACCAACCCTCTTCCAAAACAAATTTAGAAAAGAAAAGTCAAAGCGGCAAGGGGGTTAGCCTAAAACATCCGACTGACGAGACTTTCTCGAATGAGTAAAAGAGGTGAAATACACCTCCCCTGCTAGCCATGAAACATCTTTAAAAGATACAACTTAGAAAATTCCCAATCATTCTCAAATATTTGAAAATTTTTTATCCTTTCTACATCTCCTCTTCTTCCTTTTTCTTTTCTCTTTTTTTTTTATATTGCAAATGACTAGCCCGCAGAATTGAGCCCCAAAACATTTCTAAACATCTAACAGATCATTCCTTGAAAAAGAGCATTTTGAATTCTCTTAAACATTAAGAATTGACAAATTTTATTTCACCAACATCAAAGTATTCAATTTCACATCAAATTAAAAAAAATTCCCATGCCGCATGAACCCCACTCCATCCAAAGGATCGCACATAAGCACTCATGACCGGGGCAACAAGAAAAAAAAAAATCAAAATAGGCTCACTGGTAAGGGTAACAAGAGAAGCCCACCCAAGCCCAACTTACGGGCAAAGGCAGCAAGGAAGGACCAAGAGCACAGGGAGGAAATCAACCATCAAGCTCACGGGCAAAGGCACCAAGGAGGGCAAACCGAGCCCAAATTATAACTATAATAGGATCACGGGTAGACACAACAGAAAAGGCTCAACCTAGCCCACAACAGCACATTCAACCAAGTATTCATCACCAAGGCAACAGGAAACATTCAAACAGAACAGAAGAACGCTACAATGAGTGCTCACAGTTAGGAACATTCAGAGAAGCCACCAACTCCAATCCAGGCAGGGGCAACAACTAAAAGGGCGAACCGAGCCCAACATAAGGGGAATCACAATTAGGTGCTCTCGGGTTGGAGCAGCCAGAGGAACCACCAAACCCAAACCAACAGCTACCAGCTCATGAGTAAGGGCAGCCAAAGGGGGAAGCCACCAGTTAACACCCAACACAAACAAGAGAACACAACAGGGAGGCTTACGGCCAGGAGAAGCAGCACAGGGCCCCAAAACAAGCCCCAAAAGCTTCAAAGTCAAACCTTACCACCTGCAGGTGTTTCGAACAGAGAAAGCAACAAGGAACAAAAATAAACCTTCCTGAAATAAATTTTAAAAGTTCTCAAAATTTTAAAAGTTCTCAACTCAAAAGACAACATTTCATCCAACATACGATTCGATTAGAGGGGCAGCAACAAGAAATAGAATCAAGCCCCAAAACCGACTGCTCAAGACACCAGACAGATTCCAACATATATTCAAACAGGGATAGCAGGCTTAAGGAGTAAAACTGAACCACAAAACCGACTTCTTAAAGCTTAAAACAGGCTCCAACATATATTTGAATAAGGTGAAATATCAGGAGATAAAACCAAGCATCTGAGACCAAATTCTTAAAAGCTAAACAGATTCCAACATGCATTTCGAACAGGGGCAGCAAGTATAAGGAGCAAAAACAAGACTCAAACTAACTACAAAAAGCCTTAGAAACTAAATTTCAGCTATTCATGCATTTCGAACGTAGAAGACATCAAAGAAACAACAAAACAAAGCCCCAAACATCAAATTCCAAGCCGAGACATACATTTTATTAGAACCTGGCTCAATCATTATTAAAACTAAGCCATATTTCAAATCAAAACAGGGCCACACTAGGGTCCAAAATCGAACCATACACTGCGGTGGAAATAGCACCCAGCTAAGCCAAAACAAAACCAAGCTCGAGACATGTTCAACACAGGACCAACCCGAAAGTAAGGTCCAACCCAACAAGTGACCAAAACCCGGCCATCATGAGGCAAAACCGAGCCCAGCATAGGGGCAAAACTAAGCCATTTCAAATCAAAACCGAGCCCAGCACAGGGGTGAAACTAAGCCATTTCAAAGCAAAACCGAGCTCAGCACAGGGGCAAAACCGAGCCCAACACAAGGTAAATTCCTCAAGGCTTTAAAACCCAAAATTTGCACCCATACGAAGAGAGGTAACAATAATAAAAAGCTCAAAAGTCAAGTCCCAAATCAACATTTCATTTCACATGTGATTCGAATAAGGGATTAACATGAAACAGGGCAACCGAAATAATTCCTCATCATAAAACTTTCTTCCAGCATGCATTTCAAACAAGAGTAGCAACCATTATTCCATCTAGCATGTATGAATATGAGCAACATCAAAAGGATAGAAAAAGTAGAAGTGGGAAAGAGAGGAATTATATTACTTGAAATTTATTCGAAAGAAACATCATATATTAAAAATAGCTAGGCACACAAATAAGAACAATAGGCTTCCGACGACCCCTGTATGGTTCCCATTCATCAACGGTTTTGCCCCAATTCAATAATAAATCTGAGTTTTCTTTTCTCAAATAATTTTGTTGTGCAAGCCTCCCTAGCATCCTTCTCATTTTTCATAAAATGTATTTTTAATTCATGCATCTCGCTCATATC